AAAAAAAAAATAATTTCTTATTAAACAATAAATTATATTATATTATTTAATAATACATTTTAAAAAAAAATGGGGGGAAAATGTTCGCATCGAAAATATATTGGGGGGAAAATGTCCTACTATACCAAAAACAATCAGGGGGAAAATGTCCGGGAGGAAATTGTCCGGATACCGTATGTTGAATGCAGAGCCTGTACATTCTCCAAACTGAATATAGTATATATTGTAATATTGTATAATAGGAGTATAGTTTATATAACTTGGTTATCAGTTTTAACTATGATTGTTTATTTAACATTTAACATAAATTATAATTTTTTGAGCCCATGGTGTATAGGTATCAATAATAAAAATTTAAATACTTTATTTCTTCTTAATTATTATATGCACAGTATTTTTAAATTTTTTTTAAGTTCTTATTTTCTTCATAAAGAAAGATTTGAGAACAGTAACCATTTTATCCAACAATAATTACAAAATCCCTTTACAAGTAATACAATATCAAACTACTCTAATTATTACAGTATATATTTTTACATATATAGTCATATAAATATAAATTATAATTTGTTTAAGTGTATTTGCCCGTTTACATAGGATAGATAAATAAATGGTCTAAACATTATATGAACTTTATACTTATATTTATTAGTAAAAATGTATGTATATTTACATTATTGCATTATTTATTTAATATTAAACTAAATATAAGATTTTATCAGTAAAGGATATCACTGATAAATTATTTTCTAGAAGAATGTTTTAATCTACCTTACCTAGTACATATTTGATAAATATTTATATTGTTTTTATCTAATAAATGATAAAGAAATCAGTACCAATACAAGGATTATAGTAATTATACTAGTGTATAATTTATTGATTAGAACAACAATTTGTCTTTGTCACTTGAAAAAAGCTTAAAGATAAAATATTCATGTTTATATTGTTTACTTAATGGCTTAAAATATTTTCTATACTTAAGTAGTAAAATATGAATATCATTATCACTATTTTTAAATATTTGTTACTTTATTTATTTATAAATTATTTTACCAATTACCTGTACTTTATTTAGTATATACAACAATTTTAAACAGTAAAAATAAACTTTTCATTCCTATTAAAATATTAAATTTTGTGGATTTAACTTAAAATAATGCCTAATATATCAGTTAACAGTAGTTGTGTATATTTCTCAAAATTTTAAATTATTATTTTATTTTTTGTTTTGAATTGATAATTTTATATAATACTGAAAATTTGTTACACAAAACTACAGAAAACCAATATTTTACTCATATTTGTATATTAGTTTGCATTTTACATAATTTATACTCATTAGTTTTTAATAGATTAATGAAATGACTTAAAAGTGTATTAATTAAAATTTTTAAATGCATTTCATTAAAAAAAATTGACTAATACACTAAAATAATAAATTCAAATAGTATTGCTTCCCAAATCTACCYAATTCTATCCAAAATGTTAACCATTATTAATTTTTTTTCTTCATGTTGCTTGCAAAATAGTCCACAACAATTTATTTAATTCTCGAGTTCATAAATTACATGAATTTAGTGTTTTCAATTTGATGGTCATTACTATTAATACCCACATATTTAAGTGATATATATTATATCATAATAATTTATTATTAATAATAACTGATTCATAAATTAATTGTACATCTTTAATTTTTATAGCCAAGTGGTAAATTGAACTCAATTTATTTTTTGATCCTATACTTAATTTGATTTAAACTGATAGATAAAAAATCTTTTAGAATTTCCTTTAATTTAGATTTTTTTTGCATTTAACTTAACTTTATCTCATTAAATGCAATATTTATTTATTCAAATAAAGACCGTCAATTTGTGTCTGTAATAATTAACTGAAAATTCTTCATAGCTTAAATACTTATATATTTCCTTCAAAATATTATAAGATTATACACTTACCAATTTAAATTTTCTAATCATGATGTTTAATCTATATCAACACTCCAATTATATTTTAATAGGCATATGATAAAAATATGTGTGGTTAAAATTTGCTTAAAAATAATGCATTTTCCATTATTGATTCATAATTGACTCATTAATCTATAGAGAATCTACTATTAAATTGATATATTTTACAATTTTTTTTTTTTTGCTTTGTTTTTAATAGAAGACTCAAATGATAATGCAAATATGGTTGCTGCCGTTTCTTTACCCAATGAATCAGAAGAACAAAATATACCAAAAAAAGAAGTTACTCATCATTTGCCACCTGGAGCTTATCCTGTTTATCCACAGTTCATGGGTTTGTGCACTTTATATTAGTTAAATTTATATATCATCAATACAAAATCAAATATTTTATCCATGTTCTATATACCATACTTGTATAAAAACTCCCATTATATATATTATATTTAAATAGTTTTACTTTGCCTTTATATTAACAGAAAAAAACTGTTTTTGTAGAAAACCCAAATTTCTTCAATATTTCTTTGGCAACTAAATAAATCACAATATTTATTTTTATAAATAATTTTCTATGGTTTTAAATAAACGACATTGATATTGACTATAACTATGTAAATCATACAACCATGTTTTATTGTAGTAGTACATGAAAATACATAATAATATGTAATAATATATAATATTAATATATCAATATAATATGTACTAATACATACTATTATGTCCAAAACATTTACACACTTCACTGCTTCAGACATACAATTACATTCCTGTTTATAATATTATCATTTGTCGGTAACAGTACAATTTAATAAAACCTTGGATCACAATACTTCAAACTTAAAAGATCTGTGTCATAGTGTTGTTATTTTTTTGATGACACAAACCAATAATTTTTAATAATTAAATAATTAAATAATATTTTCTTAAGTTAATTACTTAAATTATATTTATATCTCAAAAAAAATTGACCCAGATAAAATTGTTTCCTATCCATTGTGGGATTCTGATAATTCTACTATAAATACTGAGGAGAAACAGTTGTCCCACGCATTTTTGTGCTAGTACAGATTTTGGTATGTTCTACGTTTGTAAGACAGAGTCAACACATGCGAGTGTGGTGTCCWCTTAAATAATTAGATCATAAAGATCTCAAAACTAAAATTTAAAAAAAATATGCATCATTAAAAGTTAAAAATATTTTATATTACGTAGCATAACTAGTGTACCAGTGAAAAGGTTTATTTTCTGTGACTATTGTTTTTAACATTTTGTTTATATTTCCATTAATATGAATTTTAATTATTTCAGGTATGCAACCATTAAAATCGACTGAAGTAAATTGTTAATTCACACATCACAAAAACATGAACTGTTCTAATAAAAAGCCAAAGCATAGCATGTTATTATTAATATTACTAAATTTATTTGTGCCATCAACTGAGTAACGAAGGTTTGTGAATGACTCAATTTTTTTTTTTTTATCTTTAAATTTTCGACTTTTATAGTCTGGCTATCAAAAGAATATTATTATCTTAAATATTAAGTTACCTAGTTTTGAACTGATTATGGTTAGAATTACTTTTCATATATAATCATAAAAATAAGACTTCATGTGTTTACCTTTAAAGAATATACCAGCACAATATTTCGTATAAATATTTATAATTTTTATCATAAAATGTGAGTCAAATATAAAACAAATATTTTGAAAAAAAAATAGTATTTTTGTATATTTCAATAAACTATTTTTTTCTCAGATTCATTATTGATTCTTCAAAATTATAATTTTTTTTTTTAATCAAATGTATACAATAATTTAAATATTCTAAATTGTCTTATTTAATATGTAATAATTAGTTTTAGTTTTTTCGTTGTTCCTGAGTTTTGACGATTTATATGGAAGAAATAAAAATCGCAAAGCTATAAAGTTTTTTTGATATTATTTGTTTTCTGCCTTATTTGGTTTATTTTGTTGGTTCCTTTCTAAACAATAATTGTCAAATAGTGAAATACCAAATACGTATTAACTGAATTGTGATGATTTACATGTGATTAACTGTCAAAATTAATTTTGGTTTTAAATGAACACTATTTTTGTGTGTATTTACATTAAGTCTAAGATTAATATTTTTACTAATAGAAATAGTAATTCAATATCGAATTATRATGTTGTATTTTGTTTTGTATTCAACACAAAAGTTATATGATCTTAAAACGTATAAAATGTCTGTATAGCTTGTAATTTTTATTATTATATTATGACACATATTCTGCTAGAATTTTTATTTTTTCCTTTTGACAATTATATGGTCTAAGTTAAAACTACTGTGTAATTTGATACTACTGTGTCTTTAAATAATCTCACTATGGTTGTGTATAAGAATTTCTTATTTATTCAATATTTTTATTTAAGCTCAATAGTTATACTGTCTTAATACTAATAAACTTACATTTAATTAATAATTAATACATTGATTTTCAATCAGAATGTGCATTTAAATGTAGAATTTTTTTTATGATATAAAGCTAATAATATTGTCTTATATTATATTATAATGTAACTTATTTTAATAATGTACAATAATTAAAACAATTTATAATTCACCATTTTACAAAAAAAAAAATTAAGACTGGATTTATATTTCATTCATATTTTGAAATTATATAGAAATAATATAAAAGTTTGTTTGAATTTGATCATATTTTTATATACTTTTTATTGCTTAATATTGACTATATTTTTCTTAATAATTCATAAATTTGATTKTAGTTGAACTATATTTTATTTTAATGCTTATTGTCTGATGTAAGATATTTTTACAAATTGTTTATACAGTCAAGCCAATTGTATACAAACAGAATAACAATACCAATATGTAAATTACATGTTTAGTTTTAATTTCTACCAAAAATATAATTATGCAAGAATTTTAAATCGACACGAATTATTATTATGCTTTTATAATAATACCTAGCTTGATATAACCTACTTAACATGTATACAACTATATAAATATCACATTTACATCTTAATTTTAAAATTGTGCCTACATAAATTAATATTATCTCTATCTATAATTAATTCTATTTGTGTAGAAAAAAATATAATTTGTATACAATATTAGTAATTTAGTTGTAATAAAACATTTATGACTAATATTAATCAATATGTTATTTTGTGTCACCTCAATTTCTACAATTATATTAGAATGTTTAACATAATTTTTACAAAATTATAATTGTAAGCAAATATTGGTTGTAATACATTGTCAAACTTGATTCAAAGTTTAAAAGTGGGCTGTAGTGCATAGCTAGAAGTATACTAAGAACACTTGGACGCTTGAAAAGTATGCCTAGTACCCTATGCTTGTATGGATGTCTTTTTCAACCTTACAACCTACACAGTATAYACATATATATTAATTTCACTATTATCAAATATTTTAATTCCCAGATTATGGGAGTTATGTCCATGAGTTTATAAGTGTGCGTGTTTTATGTGTGGTTTTATTATTTTACGACTTCAYTCTTATACATTTTAAAATAAAGATTAATGAAAATAAATCATTAATCATTTTAATTTAGTCATTATGACAGTTAGGTTTTCAGAAATCTTTTTGTTTTTCTTTTTTCTGGGTAGGTACCTATATTATATTTTGGTGAACAAAGCCTCGTTAATTACGCCCAAGTGTTATTATATGATAAGCCTATATTTATATTTTGATCAACAGTGTAAACGATGTAGTAATAGGTCAATTCACTTCTAAAATTAAACATAAAAGATTTAAGAGGACGCTACACCCACGTGTGTTGTCTCCGTCTTACAAGTGCGTAACATAATATCAAATTTTATGGTCACCTGATCACGTTTACCCCCGTTAGTTTAAAATTCATAGTGAATTGATTTATATAATAAATTGACCTCTTATAAAAATTAAAGGTAACATTATTATCGAGTCCTTCTCATAGGCGTTTTATTATGTTTTAATTTTAAAGCGAGTTTTGAGTATTTTAAGAGATGCAAACGATTTACAATTTTAAAATACTCATAACTCGCTTTAAAATTAATATATAATAAAAAGCGTATGAGAACCCCTCGAAAATAATGTTACCTTTAATTTTTATGAGAGGTCAATTCACTATATAAATCAATTCACTCTAAATTTTAAACTAACGGAGTTAAACGTGATCTGCTGAGCGTAACATTTTTTTATGTTTACAGGTTCCGCCCGCAGAATAGTACTCCCTTTTACCAATACTCGAAAGGGTTAAAACCACGGTTTAAGATAGATAGATATATAGATTCTATCTTGAACCGTGGTTTAAACTAAATATACTGCGGCTTACGTTACCAAAAATATATAGAAAATAACGGCAAATATGTGGTAAAATAGTTGAGRTTCCTGTCACAAGTTAAGTGGACGCTATACCCACATGAGTTGTCACTGTTTTACTTATATTAATATAGAATAACCCGTTTTTCGAGGCAAAAAACCAAAAAAGCAGCAGTCATGAATAAGATACAAAACGTCCACACCACAAAGACTACATTACCTTACTGTACAACATTGTTTTTTTTCGATATCTCAAATACAAAAAAAGTTATTAAAGTTTGAAAAATTAATTATATTGCTGTCCATTAAATTGTAAGACGGAGACTACACATGCAAGTATAATAACGTAATGGGTGGCATTTGTTTTTCAATTTCGGTGAATGTTTTTATTTTTCCTATAACACTAGGAAAATTCCGAAAATTTACTCTTCAGATACCTCATCTAAGCCGACCATTGTCGACAGCACAATCCGCGACTTATGTACTTTTTGCACCTCGTCCACAGCGAACTTTCCTCATCTTTCCGGGCATTTCCTACAGAAAACTGCACTCTGCAAGTGTCCCACGCCCCGTTTTCCAGAGATCGAGCCTGAACCGAGTGGGTGGGCGCACGTTCTTCCCAGCCGTCTAGGTCAACGGATCTGTGCATGTGGTAGTCATCTCCTGCGGTTAAGTCCACCGCGTCAAAGTCGTCACTAGCATTGGGTGTGATGACCGCAAAGAAGTCGGTAGCATAGGACTTGTGCACGACATCTGGGTCATGTGTTGCGCGGAAATTGTACTCTTGCAGTTTCATGTCCGGACTCTGCAACTCGATAGTGCAAAAATCAGGAACTTGCGAATCGGTAGCCCACAAGTYGGGAGTTTGCGGGTCGGTCGCCTGCCAGTCTGGTGCTTGTGGACCATCGGTTCCGCTAGAGTCACGGTCGGCCGCCGGAARTACCTCACCACAGCGGCTGCTCTGCTCCTGCTGCAGGTCTACAGGGACATGCCCGCAGTGATAGTCCGCGGGCGAGCGAGGCAACGATTCCACGCTGGCCGTGCACCGTTTCCGGACCGCGTCCGGTTTTCCGACCGCGATCATCGATTGGTACGCACGACTTGACCTCTTCGACGACAGTACGCCGCAGTCCAGCGGTGATGGTGGTTGGCCGACAACGATCTCGAACCGTGGAGTCGCCAAATCGAGCACGTAAATGATAGAACGATCGCAACTGCAGTAGCTGCAATCTTCCGCCATCTCGACGTCGGATGTCCGTACGTTGGTAATTGTTATCTACATATATTTTGTCATGCAGGTGTTCCGTTCAAATGCATACCTATCGAAGGTATCAAGTGCATCATGTAATGTTTGAATTTCCGTTTCATTATTATCATTAATATTAGGTATACCACAATATGCTAAATAACCTATAATATTAATAGATAGGACGAGGCTGAGAAACGTGACATTCCTTTATTCTTCAATATAAAACTACATCTCATATTAAAACTACTTTTTTTTTTTATAATACCTAGACAATATAAATTAAGTTATGAAAAACGTACCTATATTTACGCTCATTGAAAATGGAAATGCTTGTAAATTATTTTTTTTTATTTAATCTGTATTCTATAATATCTACTGGTATTCTATAAATTAATCTAGTTATTGCTAAGACTGAAGAAATATATTATTTTGTACAAAATCCATTTGTTGAAGTCAAAAGAACTATTGTCCATTTTATAAAATCCATGGTAAATTGTGATTTAATATTACCAAACTACCATTACGCTTTCAAKTTTCAAAAGTAAACTGTAGTCTATAAACATTTGGAAGCCTTTCTTAATATTTAGCCATTTAGGTAGGTGAATAATAAATATCGATAATATCGTGATTGCTTTCTTATATTTGAGAACTATATATTTAATATATTATATAAATATAATCATATTAAAGCCATTATAAAGGTCTGCATAAAACTTTCTTGGCGTAATATTGTATACATAATAATATGAAATTTTCATTTTTAATAGAATTGTT